ACCGGGGATAAAATAATTCAGCAGAGGCAGGGATGCATAGACCAGAGGGGGGGAAATATATATATATCACACCAACCAAAATGGTACTCTTAGCCAGTACTGACCCGAGTCTGGGTACTGAAACTGAGCCAACACCACCACGGTGTGATTGTGGCCCAATGCTGGTGCTGTTGGCCCAGTTTCAGTACCCAGACTCAGGCCAGTACTGGCTAAGTGTTTCATTTCTCGTCGGTGTGATTGTGGCCCAATGCCGGTGGTGTTGGCTCAATTTCAGTACCCAGACTCGGGCCAGTACTGGCTAAGTGTTTCAATGCTTGTCATCGTGATTGTGGCCCAATGCCGGCAGTTTTGGCAGCCGGACTCGGGCCAGTGTATTTCGAATTGTAGACTCTGGCAACCGCAGCCGGGCGGAGTTATTTAATCCGGCCTGCCGGATCTGGGCCATTATCGGGCCAAACCGTTTTGGCTACCTGGGGAGACTTCTCCTGTCTGCATTATGATCTGTATTTTTACATATTTATTTTGAAATCTTTTATATATCCCTCCATGGCGTATTTAAGTCCCACTTAAATGATGCTCCTTCTGTGTCCAAAATTTATCAAAAACATCTTGGGACATTAAAGTTTTCACACAGCTGTCATTGTAAGACAGCAGCAACTCCCGTTTGTTTGTCCGAGTGAGCAACAGTAACTAAGGGGGGCGGGGCTTACCGATAGGTCAATTGCATCTATCAAACTTTTGCACTTTATCAATTCAAGGAAATAATTTAGTAGTTGTCAGTTACTCTTGTCTATCCTTTTGTTAATAAAACCCTTTTATTACACCTGTGGCTTCCTTGTGTTGATAATACAGTGGGAGGCTCTACAAATGAAGAAGATCTCACAAATCTTTCAGATGACTTCCTCCAATTTATATAACTCTTTTATTCAAAAAGTTTGTTTATTCAACAATCTTTCATGATTGTTCTTTACTGTCAGGGTGGAAATCCCTTGCTGGTGCACCGTAACATAGGAAAGAATTATCTGACACTCTCACAATCACCTGTGAACAAAACAAAATGTTAATATTAGCATTAATATTTAAGCCCAAAACCATTAAATATATGGTGCTACTTAGATCTAAAACCTCTAGATTTAATGGTGTCCCACGTGAAGCTATTTCAGATTGAAATCACTACATTTAGTGGTGCCCCGTGTGAGGCTCTTACACTAAAATCTTCTAGAGGAATGCACTGAAGGGGCATGTCCCACAGTGAGACACCAAAACATATGCTTAAAAAGAGAACACTGCCTTAAACTGACTAGCAGAAAGGCAGCGCAATTCTATAAATAGTCTAAATAATCTAAACAAAACAGTTACCCAGAATGAAACACAACGTGACATCAGCTTCACATTTTCTATTGGGACACAGCTTATATAGAACATACTTTTTTTTTAACTATCACAAAGTAAGTTTGAATTCAAAAGCAGTACCTACAGCATGCAATTTCAGACACACTGATTGTTTTGTTCCTGAATTAATCATTTCTATTACAGTTATGAAATTTACCATAATAATTGTCATTGTTGTCATAATTGTTGCTAATACACATCAAATTATAAACGATTACAATTGAAATAATATATAATTATTTTTTCGCATTATAACAATGACTTTTTTTCCAGTAATGAGAATTTGCAGGACTAAATGTAGTGCATAAACATTAAAATATGATAGATAGACTCTGGATTAAATATAAGTCTGCAGGTTTCATGAGACTCACCAGCTCAATAACTCCAATCACTAACTAAATGACAAGCTAATTGCTGAGGAGTTGAGTGTTTCTCTGGTGGGAGCTGAGTATTGAAGCGCATCTGTAGTCATACAGTAGCCTAGTTGTGGTGTAGTCTCTTTAACTCATTCACTCAGTCTGTCGTGTCTTGTCGTTTTCCGTTTTCCGGTAGTTGTTTTGTTCACTATTTCGTCATCGATTCGTATGGCATCATTTGATAGCGGATTCTCCTTTGAAGAACAATAAAGGCAGCAGCAGCTTCTCAGAAAGCGGACGAAAGAGAAGACGTGACACGTCCTCGCATCATCGGTCCGTTCTGCTCTCACCTCGGCGCTCTCTTTCAGCGCACTTGATTTGAGTAAAACTGCAGTATGACTGGAGTAGGCTATATATAAAGCATGACAGCGGCGCCTTTACTTCAAAAATACATTCATGCACTTCCCTTGTTACATCTCTGACTGGAACGCACTCCACGCGACACATCCATCCATATATTTGGTGTAAGCTGTGTTAGTCGGCAGCTGAGTTTGTTGACAGACAATTCATCATCTCTTCAGAAGCTCTGGACATCATTGCAATCATGAAGTGTGTTTTGCATTGTATATTTTTCCTCCTGCTGTGGATTACACCCAATACCAGAGTATGTGCATCTCATCAAGGAATTCCCCTGTCAGTGTAAGTATACTTTTCTTATATTTCTAATGTATTGTATATAATTAGTAGGTGCTAATAATAGGCTACAAATAAAATAGGATGTTTTGTATATTGTTTGCTGTATTGGTTTTGTACAACTATTGCTGACCGAAAGAAACATATATAAAATAGCCTGTATTGTTGTCATTTTGTCCCAACTTTGTTATTTGCTATTTGTCAAGTTGCCCAGACTGCTCTACAAAATGAACTGAATCAAAATGAATAGACTAAAATATGTTAGGTCACAATATGCATTTATTTATTTAGCCAGTGCCTTTTGATTTTAAAGTTCACTTCATATATTTGTGTGATGGGCCAAATGCAGTTTAAAGGAGTCGTATTTGCTTAAATACAATACAAATTTCATGTATTATAAATACGCATGATTTGAAAATGCGGTTTAAGCAAGTGTTTTCACTACATTGCACTTTTCTCTCATACCCAAATGTGTACCTGCTATGTCAAATCCATTTCCTCATAATTTCATTTCCTTCTTTCTAGTGTAAAACTTTGGGCTTCAGCGTTTGGTGGAGAAATGAAATCCCTTGCGACCAAGTATTCTGGCTCTCAGCTGTTGCAAAAGGTAAACTGAGCTCTGCTAAACTAACACCATGAACAAAACAGCACCGAAAGGTATATCATGATATTCTTTGAAGTAACTTGGAGTACCATGCTATTGTCATGCTATATGAATTTGGTAATCATTCAATACCATGGTATTTATCAAAGTATTACCATTTGATACCAACACTGTGCCATGTGCTTCTTTTTAAGGGGCACACGTTATTTTTGACTAAAAGGTTTTAGCTCCTTTTGTGGTGTCCTTTCAACACACAGAAAAGTGAGTGTGTGCTTCTGTTCCCGCAGTTACATATTATCACATACACAAATACATGTCAACACTCATAGTCACACACACATTCACACACAATCTACGCTAATTAAACCACCCACAAGCAACAAATCTGGTTTTGCTAGTGTTCTGCTTGTCTTTTTTCACAGTGAGGTCAGGGCATCACAGAGGTCAGCACTCGAGGCCTGTGATTATGGGAAAGCATGTTTCTGTAATGGAGCAGATGGATGTCTGTGAGCATGATTTTAGTGTGATTTTGCTAGTGATATTTTCACCATTGGGCTGGTTGGAGTTCAAATTTCAATATTAAGGAAAAAGACAACAACATTAAAATGTTTGTGGCATGTGTGCATTTGTGTGAGTGCTACCAAGTAAAGAGGATGGGAGCCCGAGGGGCAGATTATCTGTGTGACGGTTTTAAAAAGAAGAAAGAGAACATGCCTGGTGAGCAGACAGAAAAGCGGAGAAGAGAAAAAACAGAGCAGAGGGGGGCAGCAGAAGAGAAGAAAGCAAAGAGACATATGACAGGAAGCCCAGAGGAAGAAATGTGCATGGAGAAAGAGGAGAGGAGAATGTAAAGTAGAGTAATGTGAACGAACTGGTGTAAGTGTGCCCTGTGGCTCACTCACTCGCTTATTGTGTGTGTGACCTCAACAGCTCAAAAGTGCTTCGGAGTGGTTCTGGACAGGCGATAAGGAGAGCGGGTCCAACGGGTCCATTAGCAGAGGGTTGGGTCTCTGATTGAGGAGCAATGTAAAATTTCAGACCTGGAGCAAAACAACTACTTAAAAACAGCCACAGGAAACACATCTCTGGAAACTGTAGGGAATACTGTTGGACTAGTGCTATATACATTTACATTCATAATATACATTAGCACATTTACAGTAATGACAACATTACATTACCATATTACAATAATGAGAATGAGATTTTGCATTTACATGCATAACACACTACATGACCTTTACTCAAAATGTTTTTCTTTTGTTTTTGGTCTGAATTATCTGACAAAATGTAACATACATAAATTGCTTTGACCAATAGATGTTTTAAATAATGAACTGTACAAGTTGAAACATTTAAAACAACCCAAAATATCCTTGTCCTTTGTCTTTCTTCTGCTGAACACAAAAGAAGATATTTTGAAGAACGTGGCTAACCAAACTGTTGCTGGACGCCATTGACGTCCATAGTTTTTTTTTTAAAACCAACCATAGTCACCAACATTCTTCAGAATATCTTCTTTTTGTCTCACAATTGCAAATTTAAATCTCACAATTCTGAGTTTTTTTCTTCTTCGCAGAATTCTGGGTATACATCTTGCAATTCTATTCTTTCCCCTAAAGTTTAAGACACCTGATGCAGTAGGTTTGAATTCTATACTCAAAAAAAAAAAAATATATATATTCATTTATTTTTTTTTAATCTGTATAAGCTGTATATAAATATTTTCTATTCAGATTTGTTTTGTAGACAATTTCATTTTCATGTGTGCAATTTAATTTGGGTTTGTAAAGATAAGGTATCTTAATCTTCTTTTATTTTCCCCTTGATTTAAGTTTAAAAATCTCCCATGAGCTTCTTTACTATTTAAAATGTAACCAACAGCTGAGTGTCAAGACAACAACAAAGCAGTTTTGATGTTACATTTAATTTCCACAGAAGTAAAATCTGAAAAACATTACTTAAACTTACCTTACCTGAAACTTCAATGCTTTGCTATATTGCAAGCCCTGCTGTTTCCTTCAGGAAAATCTAGCTTCTCTTTGTTCTTTCTTTGCTTATCTATTATGTTTGTGTGTCTTTCATTTCCAGTGTCTTTCAGTCATCTTTCAGTCTTTACCCTTTGCCCTTCCTCTCATCCATTCTCTTACATTTTCTCTTTTCCTAAAAGCATTCTAAGGCATTCTTTACATCGAATAAATTCGTTTTTATATTATCTGCTGTTATCATCATGCATGTGTCTAAATTGTGCCCATATTATTCTGCACCATCATCACACCTTGTACTGCTCAAGCTCAAGCTCAAATAATACTTGTATTGGAAATTTCTAATGTTTCAAGGTTAAATCAAGGGAAACGGTGTGTGTGTGTAACAGGAAGTGAACAACATCCTTTCCTAATCAATATACTGTACATATTCAGCTTAAAATGGCCATATATGAGAATCTTAAATTCGTTTTTATATTATCTGCTGTTATCATCATGCATGTGTCTAAATTGTGCCCATATTATTCTGCACCATCATCACACCTTGTACTGCTCAAGCTCAAGCTCAAATAATACTTGTATTGGAAATTTCTAATGTTTCAAGGTTAAATCAAGGGAAACGGTGTGTGTGTGTAACAGGAAGTGAACAACATCCTTTCCTAATCAATATACTGTACATATTCAGCTTAAAATGCCCATATATGAGCATCTAAGATATTGAGATTGTATGTTTACTTACATTTTCAAATCTTTAAAACATAAACTGAAAAAAAAACATGTTTTTTAAAACGGGGGGCGGGGGTGGGGGTTAGGG